CGCTCCATCGGGAAGGTAAATGGCATTTCTGTGCGCTGCTCTGGTTCGCCAGAAGCGGCTTAGTCATGCTGGCCACATGACCCGGAAGCTGTATGCCAGCTTCCTCGGCCAATAAAGCGAGATGAGCGCCGCAACCCCAGAGTCGGTCACGACTGGACCTAATGGTCAGGCGCCCCTTTACCTTTTAGAGGAGAATGTAAACTCTTGCTTGGGCACAGACGGAGGTGGGGTGGAGAAAAGCCAGAGATCAGTCCGCTGAATCTTTTGAACAAAAGGTCAAGAGTCAGAGATAAAGGGAGCACGCTATCAGCATAATTTTGTGGGATGCTAGATCCCTTCTGCATTTTTTCATGGGTTCTCATGATGCAAATCCAGGAACAGAATTTGCTGTAAAGGACTTTAGAGGGCCTGAATGGAACACGAGTGCTGTCCATCACAGGCATTGTCGGTGGTGCAATTATTTTTACTGCTTCCTTTCTGTAAACAGCTTAAACCTGCAGAGACCAAATGACTCAGAGGAGCAATAATGGGATGTACGGAATTCACTGTCTTGCTAATGACATCGGAAGCCATTAATAACCTGAGATTTAAGCGCCTGCCCAACCGTCTCAATGGCTTTTTCTCAATGCTCTGACGCGGTTGTCTCTTGGCATTCTCTCATGCCAAGACGACTCGGAGGGTTCACTGCCGCCAAACAAATGGGCTTGTGCTGTGGCACTACGTAAGCCAAGGTGGAAACTTTCGTGGTCTCTGATTAGCGCTTCCCAGACGGAAGCTGAGATGTGTCTCAAAATGATGACCAGCAACAGGAACCTCCCAGCCCATTCACTTTGTGAATAAAACTTAGCGCAGTCTGCTTAGATTCAAGTCCATTATTATTATTATTATTATTATTATTATTATTATTATTAAATCTGTATACCGCCCTATATCCACAGGTCTCAGGGTGATTACACCATAAAAACACAATATAAAAACAAAAGAAGACTTAATACAAACAAAAACAAAACAACCCAATAAACTCCCCTCCCCAGCACATTTTAAAAGGTGCACAATGAAGGTGTCAGGCAAACCTCCCTGGGGAAATGAAGCCACAGCATTGCATTTTCACTTAACTAGAAGCCTAGAGTTCGGTGCATCAAAATGAAGGAAGGAGTAGGAATATTAACTCAGGATCCAATGTGAGTTAATGGTTTTGTGGTGGTGGTGGTTTTTTTAAAAAGACATGCTTATCGGGCCAGTTATTCATCAGGAAAACTGTTGTTGGCGCACAGCCAAAGAGAATCTCTCCAGTTCCATAAATACACTCCAATTATCATCAGAGGAGACTGAACCCCCTCAGACTCTCTTGGAGAGCTCAGCTGGGCACTGAAGTGCCGTTCAATCACTGCATTCGAGGGAAGAGCACATTCCCAACTGCTTCACTATGCTTGAAATCACGGCCGCCTTTTCTCCCTAGTCCTCTTTCCCTCCTGTTTCCCTCACCTCACATGAAGACTCTCCAAGTGTCCCTATTTTCCAGGGACAGTTCTGGATTTACAGATGCCATCCTGGTTTCTGATTTGATCCCAGAATGTCACGTTTTTCCTTAGGACGTCCCTATTTTCATTGGAGAAATGTTGGAGGGTATGGAATAGGCTGCCCCTATTTTCACTGGAGAATTGTTGGAGGGTATGCAGGCGTTTGGGGCTACAGCTCTCTTCAGCCCCCAGGGATGATGGGAGCTGGAGTTCAACAACTATTCTTCATCCCTGATCTTGTGACTACTTTTTTAATTCACTCACCTTAAAACAAAATTCATTATTCAGGGTGCATCTGGCACTTTCATTGTTTAGTTTTTGGCACATGCCGGCAACAAACCTCATTTCCCTGGCCGTTGACACCTGAGAGATATGTTTTAGGATCCGCCCTATTCTTCTGACTGTAACATGTTTTAATGTTAATCATGTAACCTTGTGATTTCAAATCGTAAACTATGGAACATGCTTCCACTGGAGGCAGTGATGGCCAACTTGAATGGCTTTAAAAGAGAATTGAGATGCGAATCAGATGAGACCATATGATATCTACTTGGTCAAAATCCATTGTGTAGAGACTAACCGCATTCCATTCAGGGATATTGCCTCTGAAGCCTGATTTCTGTTTCTGGATCATGGGTTCTCTCTGGCAACCCAAGACTGTCATGGGTGAAGGCAAATGTATCTGTCAACAGAATTTCTTTGGCTGTGGAGTGAGCACTGTCTTCTTGCTTTTATTCTCATAATGACATACGCACAGCCTACGGATTAAATCCTAACTGCTGCTTCCTGTTTGCCCGCTAGACCCATGATTCAAACAGGAAGTCCACTTTAGTTCATTCATTCAAACGCCTGGAATGATAAGCTGATCAAATCTGTCTTTGACAGTTTTGAGAGAGAGACAGACAGACAGACAGACAGACAGTGTGTTATGTGGTTAGTTCTTCACTTTCTTATATTATGCTTTACAGTGGTACCTCAGGTTACATATGCTTCAGGTTACAGACTCCGCTAACTCAGAAATAGTGCTTCAGGTTAAGAACTTTGCTTCAGGATGAGAACAGAAATCGTGCTCCAGTGGTGTGGCAGCAGCAGGAGGCCC